CGCCAGGGTGAAGTAGCTGTGCTGGAATGCAAAGGGCTGGAACGCTCCGATCGCGGGATCACCCAAGCCTGGGCAACGCCTAAAACTACATTTAACCTTTAATTACTCCCAGGGAGCCAGCATTTCCACCCCGCTTCCTCCCCTTTCCTAAATGGCAAAAAGCCAAGACCCGAGCTCACTGAAAATATCGTTCCGTTGGTAACTGGGGGAGTCTTCCCAGTGTCCTGGGCACTGTGGGATGAGTGGGGAGTTTCTAATCTGATTGGCAAGGGGACGGCTGCGGACACCCACGAACGTGATGGGGAGCCGGAAGGGGGTCAGGGATCTGGGATTAGGTTTCTGCTTTGCTGTTAACTAGCTGTGACCCTAATAAACCTCTCACCCCCTTCTAGGCCCATTTTCCAGTCTGCACAGGGGAGCAGGGGCGAGGAAACAGCTGTAACAGCTACTTTAAGTGCCTTGTGTAAAATGATTTCTGGTTTAATCCCGGAAAAACCCAAGCAATAAGTAGGATTATTATTCCCATTTGACAGACAAGGAAATAGAGTTTAGAAAGGTTGGATAAATTGCCCACAGTCACTAGACACAGTTTGTAAATGTCCATCACGTGTAAAACTGAGTCTGTGACTCTCACTTCCATCTGTTAATCACTGAACTATAAATGCTTCCACCGGTCCTTTCCACACTGGCATCCCATAGTCCAAAATATAAGCAGTGTGTATGTATGTGGAAATATATAAGAGGGGGTGGGGAGAGGAGTGTAAGATTGCTGATGAGTGTAAAGGGCCTTCATCATACTTTTTACTTGCTTTACTGTTATCTATTTAAACTCTTAGGTAGTGGAGGAGCAGAAAAAAGAAACCTGAGTGCTTTCTTGAGATATTTAAAGGATTAGCGTGTAGAAGAGGATTAGACATGTTTTGAGTAGTTCCAGAGAGCAGAAATGGGTAGAAGTTGCAATGGGGGGACGGATCTGGGCTCAATGTAGGAAGAGATTTCTAACAAGTCCCATGGTTCCAGTGCCAGTGGCTTCCTGGTGAGGTTAAGAGCCTGGTCACTACAGAGCTTGATGCAAAGGGCCAGGCATCTGCCTGGCAGGTTAGAGAGGAAGTTCCCTCCCAGGATCAGGGGCCACGTTGGGTGAGCCCAGGTAGTCTCTTGAGGGCCTGAGCCCTGAGAGTCCATGATTCTTCCTAGAAGACCAAAGTTTGGTGAGTCAATTGCCAGTCACCATCATTAATTGTTGAACCACCATAAACTGAACGGCCATCTTCTTGGGCCTGTGAGTTTCTAGGATGGTGCTTACAGCTGGTTAAGCCCCATGTCCTGTAGGTTACCTCTCAGGGCCACATATCTTAGCCTATGCCCTCTTTTCCTCCCAGGAAAAGGTGACTCTGGAAGCAGCATCAGGGACTTCCCCATCCTGTCCAGGAGACAGTTCTGATAGGGGTCAGGTCACGCCTGAGGGTCTTTCTCTAAGGAAGAGATTCAATCCTATGATTTGAATCTCTGTGATATCCCGTCAGTCTTTCCGAGCCTCCATTTCATGATCTGCAATGTATTACTCTTACATCTATAATCTGCTGGTTGTGAAGATTCATTTTGCTCAGTGTCCATAAAGTGCTTCTTAACACAGCTCTTGGTCTCTAGGAAATACTCTAGAAACAGTAGCTACCAGAAAATGACCACCTCAAGGGAGAATCTTCCTCTTTTCAGAGAACAATGCATCCGGGTCCAGCTATTTTCAACTTGAATTTTCATTAGTATTTGATGGAACTACGCTTTGAATCCTCAAAATTCCCAAGAAGATATTTTATTGAACAATGCTATGAGTTAATTATCTCAAGAATGTGGTTTCTTCCAGCAGCCTGACTACATTCATTTGAGTCAGTCTGCAGATGTTTTCTCAGGACTTGGGGGTGAGAGGATTTGGTTTTTAAATTTCAGTGACTCCTTTGCCCTGAAGGGCTTGGGCAGCTTTATGACTTTGTGGAAGAGTACAGAGAAATAACCACAGGCACTGCCAGGCCGCCTGGCTTTCAGGGATTGGGAACTTTGTGCAGTTTCCCACCCACTACAACTCTAAGGAAAACAAGGTAGGAACGAGGGGAGGCCAAACACGGAGGGAAACGCCATTTCATTCAATCATTTTTATAGTTCTACATTTATCGAAACTCTGAAGAAGCAAAGACATAATCCCTGTACTCTTGGGTCCCCGTCAAACATAGATGGAGGAAAGGTTACATTCATTCACTCACTCGCTCATAGAGCGAACACTCTGGACAAGGTTAGGAGTGAACTTTGCACAGTAAATCCCTTGGTCAATTCTCAGTCTTCATGTTACTCAACCTGACAGTGGAATTTGGCACAACTGACCTCCCTCTCCTTCTTGAGTGCCACGTTCACTTGGCTTCCTGGACCACTCTTGTCTTGATTCCCCTCCGACCTCAGTTCTACACTCTGGAGCAACCCCAGGTTTGTCCCTGGACTTCTTTTCAATATACGCACATTTCCTTTGGTGAGTTAATCCAGTTCTGTGGTTTTAAATACCATCTTTTTGCTGATGACTCCCAAATTTGTTTTCTCAGATTTCTCCATTCCAGACACATATCATATCCATCCAGCTACTCAACATCTCTACTTGGACTGTAGACACATCAAGCATAAGTTCAAAACTAAATTCCTCATCCAACCCACCCTCTCACAGCTTTTCCTTCTCCTTAAATTGCAACTCTGTCCCTTGAGTTGCTCAGATCAAAAATCCTGGAGTTATCTGTGACTTTTTTCTCTTATATTCCACATCTGACCCATTAGGGAAAACTACCTTGAAAATATATCCAAAGTACCACCCTGGTGCAAGTTACCATTTCCTTTCACCTAGATTATTAGAGTAGCCTTGTGATCTGTCTCCCTCTTTCTACCCATAACCCTCTACACAGTCTTCTCTCAACACAGCAGTCAGAGTTAACCCTGTTAAACTGCATCAGTTCAGATCACTTCCTTATTTAAAATACTGAAGTAGCTCCCCACTTCCTCTGTGGACAAACCAAAGTCTGTCAAAGGCTTACACATCCTGCCCTCCTCCCCCCCCCCACACACACATACATAGACACACACATACACAAAATCCCCTTGACTTCATTTCCTCTGTTCCCCTCACTCATTCTGCTCCAGCCACGCACACCCCATTGTCATTCCTTTGCCTGGAATGCTTTTCCCTCAAACACCTGCAGAGCTTTCATCCTAACTTCCTTCAGATCTTTGCTAAAATGCTACCTGCTCAGTGGTGCCTTCTCAGAACACCTTATTTAACATTATACTCCCATCCTCCCTCCATACTTTGTTTTCCTCCATGGCAGGGATCACCAGTATTGATATTCTACATGTATTTATTTATTATCGTGTTCTCCCACTGCAATGTAAACTCCATGAGTATAGAGTTTTTTGGTTTTGTTTTTCAGTTTGTGGCATTTTTAAAAGGATTTGTAAATTAATCCAAAGCTGGCAACTGCCTCTTATATACTCATTTCTATAATGTCAAGTTATTACTTAAGTTCCAGTTTAAATCACTTTTCTTAAAATGCAGAAAGGCAGATATCTAAAACACTGCAAAAAACAACTTTTAAAATGTGGAGGACAGAGATTTTTGACTGTATTGTCCAGCTCTAGAACAATGCCTAGCACATAGAATGAGCTGAACAAATACTTGTGAATGAGTGAATTTTTATATCTTGTACACCTACTAGCTTTCACTCACTCAGCTAGAGGCTAAGATTGCAAAGATTCACATCTCTACCTCCACTGAGCTGATGGTCAAATATAAAGAGAGATGTGTAAGTCAGTCAAGTGCTGGGGGGAGGGGTTGGTGAGTGATGTATCATTCAAAGGCTCTGGACACAGGGAGAAAGAATGACTCTTGCCTGGGGGAATCAGAGAAAGCTTCCTGGAGGAGGGGGCATTTGAAGAGGACTTTGGGGAATGAATAATTCACCAGATGAATTATTTAAAATGAGGCTAGCTGCTGTAACACATAGATCTCCAAATCTTAGGGATTCACTGAAGTAGATGTTAATTTCTTACTCAAAGAAAAATCCAAGTCTAAATTTGGTGAAGGTTTCTCCTCCAAGTAGGGATCAGTGAGCAGGCTTCTCCCAACTTGGGATCCTGCCACCTTCAACTCAAGGCTTCTGAGGTCCCTACAGAAGGAAAAGAGCATGAAGGATTCCATGTATTCAGTTTCCACAGCTCTGGCCTGAAAGTGACACACAGTCACTTCCGTGTTCCATTAACCAGAACTCACCACACATGGCCACGGGCCACTGCAAAGGAGGCTGTGTGCCCAGCAGGAAGAGGAAAGGAGCTCATGGGACAGCTAACCACTGTCTGTTACTCCAGGCATAGTGGATTAGAGACAGGCGCCCCAAGAGAAAGAACAGTATGAAAGTGTGGTATGTTTTGGAAACACTGTGGTGGGAACCCAGAGAGTGTGAAGGAAAGTGGCCAGAGATAACACTAGAAAGGTAAGTTGAGAGTTGTGTCTTATTCAGGGGACCTGCTGAGGACTC